CTGAGACATCTCCCTGGTTCTCACTATACAATATTTAACACAAGTATGTGTAAGAAGCCTTGTCATGTGTGCTGACCTTATCATGACAATGCTGGTTGATTCTTACACATATTTAGCAGTGCACATGATAAAACTCTGAAAAGAATAATTTCTTGGGTTTAGAGTAGACCCTATTCTGGGAAGTACTTCAGAGGAACAGACAACAATTCTAGGATTACTGTCAACAATTGGGAGACCAGATGTTTCAGCTTCCTCCAGCCTTGAACACTAAACATCTATATTATTCTTTGCTTTGCCAGAAATTCAATAGCAGCAAATTCCACTAATCTGAAGAGGAAACAGATTCATTTTTAGCTGTTTCTCACCTAAGGCATTTGGAAGACTGTTTTTGTTTCAAGTACTGGTACTGAAATTCCTTGTAAGTATGGTTTATCTAGAAGATTAGCTAGTTCGTTTCAAGAGGATTCTATCTTTTCATGATGTGTGGCATCTATCATGTAAACAACAGCATTAATCCTCTGCAATGCTCTTCCCACAGGGTCTGGGATTACAGGGGTGCGTCACCACACCAGTCTTGGTGGCTGGCTCAGCTCGCCCAGGGGTGGAGCTGCCATGGCATGTGGTAACCCAAATTGAACCTGGGTCCTTGAGCTTGCCTAGGCAGGTGCTTAGACTGCTGAGTTATCTCTGCAGCCTTCCCACAGGCTCTGGAAACAGGGCTCTCCTCCTATGTCCAGATCTTTATTGTGATACCACCTTTATTTTTTATTTTTTTTAATTTGTTTTTTTAATAGATTGCAAATTGAAAATAAATTATTTACAAACATAAATGCATATAACAATAAAAATTGTCAGGGCCGGGGAGATGGCTCAGTGGAAAAAGCCCTTCCCTGGCAAGCACAAGGGTCTGAGTTCAATCCACAAAAAAAAAAAAAAAAATTTGTCCAAAATAAAAATGAAGAAAGAATTTACAGATCAGTCATAATAGTTCACTGTAATACCACCTTTAGTTACTTTCCTCATGTTGAAGCCCATTGTGGGAATCATATCTTTACTGAACAGATCTTACATGATGACATGGACAAAGGTGGTCTTGCCTGATGCCAGTTCCACTAGGCATCAGGTCCACCTCCTTCCAGAGTAGAGGGTGGAACCAGTCCAATAGGCAGAAGGTGAGTACCAGCATGTTGACAGCTGGGAGGGAGGGCAAATGCAGCAGCAATGACCCTGCAATGGACCTACCCAACAGCTCTTCAGTGCTTCAGTGGGATACAGGTTGGTAGCAATGATAGAACCAGGAAGCTGGGGCCAGGGAGATAGCTCAGTAGAATAAGCACTTGGTTGGCAAGCGCAGGGTCCTGAATTCAATCCCCGGTACTACAAACAAAAAACAAAAAACAAAAAACAGGAAGCTAAGGAGGTCGTTTTTATTTTATTTTATCCTTATGAATTTAGAACAGGGTCTACAGGGTCTCACTATACAGATTGAATTCATAGTGATCCTCCTGTATTCAGCTTCTCAAGCATGGGATTACAGGTGTCCGGCACCATATCCAGTCTTGGTGCCATCTCAGAGTACCCTGGGGGTGGGGCTGGTACAGCACAATAGGGATCAAACCTGTGTCTGCCTAAGCAGGGGCTTTAGTCCGCTGAGCTATCTGGCTGGTCTAGGAGGTCATATGTAAAAAAAAAAAAAAAAATTAGCTTTTCTTTTCATTTTTAAAAATGAAATAGGGCCAAGGAGATAGCTCAGGGGCTTTTAAGTGCCTGCCTGGCAAATGGACTTCAATCCCCAGTATAAATATGAAATAAATCTTTTATTAGTTAATTATTTGGGGAATATGTCATAGTGACAAAATGTTAACAATCAAGACGCTCAGGGACCCGGGAGATGGCTCAGTAAAATAAGCGCTTCCCTGGCAAACATAAGCACCCAGAGTTCAATCTCCGGTTCCGCAAAACAAAACAAAACAAAACAAAACAAACCTCAGGAAGCAATTTTTTTAAGAAAAATATGAACGGCTTCACAAATCTGCATGTCCTCTTTACACAAGGCACACGCTAATCTTCTCTGTATCGTCCCAATTTTAGTATATGTACTGCTCAAGTGAGCACAGGGGAACATCTTGAAAGACAGCATAGTTTCATGTTATCCTTTCCAGCCACATGATTCTGTGATGTAAAAACTTGACATGAAAAATATCCAGTTTAAGGGCTGGTCAAATAGCTCAATGGATTAAAGCACCTGCAAGCAGGCACAGAGGCTGGGGGTTCAATCCCTGGACCTATTGTGCCAGCTCCGCCCCCAGGGCATGCTGAGACAGCAATTGAGAATGGCCATGGTGGTACACACCTGTAATCCCAGCACTTGGGAGGCTGTAAACAGGAGAATCAAGTCTGATTTAGTTGTGAGACCCTGAACACCCTGTAGACCCTTCCCTAAAACAAAAACAAACAAACAAAAAAATCCAGTTTAAGCATCTTCTAAACCAACAACTCTTAACCTAGCACCCACACATGGGCTTCAAAGATCTGAATCTTCTAAAATCATAAGACAAAATTTGTTTGTGTGCATTGGGGGGAGGTTAGGAGAGTGGCCACAATTTTTTTTTTTTTGGTGGGGGGCAGAAATGGGGATTGAACTCAGGCCCTTGCACTTGCCAGGGAAGCACTTATTCTATTGAGCCATCTCCCTGGCCCACAATTTTTAATTCAATATAGCCTATTTGAATTAAAAACGCAGGAATCTCTGTAGGTGACTACTGTAATCTATTTCCTAAACCCTTTATATGCCATAACTGATACTTAATAGGAATTCCAGTTCCCACAATCATCAAAATTCTTTAGCATATAAAATATAATAGACTGGGGAGATGGCTTAGTGGAATAAGCACTTCCCTGGCAAGCGCAAGGGCCCGAGTTCAATCCCCGGTTCCGCAAAAAAAAAAAAATAATAATAATAATAGACTGACACAGCACCTGCCTGGCAAGGGTGAGGTCATGAGTCTGATTCCCAGTCCAGAAAAACAAAAGTGGGTGTTAAGTGATCAATTTCTCCTCTCCCTCCTCCCCCTCTCCCTCTTCTTCTTCCTCTTCCTTTTTTTTTTTTTTTAAAAAAAGAAGAAAACAGAACAAAACAGGATCTCACTATATAGCCCAGGCTAGCCTTGAACTAGCATCAATCCTCCTGCCTCAGCCACCATACCTGGCCTAAATGACTGTTTCTATGAGCAATCATTCCCAATACATAATAAAAAGTCACCCATGAATCCCTGTTGAAATGATTCCTATCTGTTTATAATGCAACCCAAGTGACTTTTCCACCAATAAAGAGCTAGATATTTAATACACAGAACCAGAAAGAAGGAACTTTTTTAGAAAGTAAGAATCCTTAAATCTGCTTTGGGGCTCTTGAGTCTCCTGATAAAAACAAAATGGGGCTGGCCAGATAGCTCAGTAGACTAAAGTGCACAGTGGCTGGGTTTGATCCCCTGAATGCAGTGCCAGCTCCAGGTGGGGGCACTGAGACAGTGATCGAGACTGGGTGCGGTGGCACACACCTATAATCCCAGCGCTTGGGAGGCTGAAAACAGGAGAATCACCAGGAGTCCAATCTATGTAGTAAGACCCTGTAGACCCTGTACTAAACTTGTTTAAAAATAATAATAAAATAAATGATGGGGCTGGGGAGATAGCTCAGTAGAACAATGCTTGCCTGGCAAGCGCAAGGTCCTGGGTTCAATCTCTGGTACCACCAAAAATAAATAAATTAAAATAAAATAAATGAAATACTTGCTTAAATTCCATGATGCAAACAAAAAATACTCAGTGCTTTAAAATGAACAATACCCAGAATTTACACAGGACCAGAAGATACTTATATTTTAACCAGCCAGAAGGAAATGTCTTCATTGAACACTCATTTAGTAGAAATTCAGAAGGTAACACCTTAACAGTAGGGCTAAACCAGTCGAAAGTAAAGGGTACTCTAAATCCATCCTAACAAAGCTTTAAAATGCGACGGAAGGGATCAAAGTAATACACAAATAAACTGCCTGCCAGAACGAAGGTCAATGGTCCTTAGGGAAACAACAAAAGCTCAGCGCTCAAAATATAAAACAATATACAGCATACAACTAAAATTACTACACATTAAAGAAAATGTGACTGATTTGTGTTAATAGAAATAAAGAAATGCCAAAGATAGTGACATCAAGAGAAAGGAATGCTTTTAGACAGCACATGAATAAATATGATATGCTCAAGGATTAAAAGGGAAATATGAGCATAATGAGAGAAACAGAAGTCATAAAAAGAACCACTTAATAGAACTTAAAAAGACCATGCCAGCCCCACCCCTGGACAAACTGTGACTGGATTGAGACTGGGCGAGGAGGCACACACCTATAATCCCAGC